ACTCTCAAGTGGCCAAGACTGCAAGTGTGGGTATTTGGACAAGGCAATAGACAGTGGCTCTCCAGGAACTGAGTTTGACAGCCCTGCTCAGAGTCTGTCAGATTTCATCCACTTCTCTCCAATGACACGAAACTAAGTTGCTGGTGAACTGGTGGAAGAATAGCAGAAACCTCATAGTGAACTACACAGTCATGAATAAAACATTTTGTTAAAGATTATTTTCTCAATCATTATTTCTGCTTCTACAGATATCGGTATGATTTTTTTTTTTTCCAACTTTAATTATTTTGGCTAGTACATGTGTATTTATATCTGAAACCATAGGCGGATTAACCATATGGGCAATTGGGCAAGTGCCCAGGGGCACCACGTCCAGGGGGGCACCACGCAAATAAATGTTCTGGGGTAAAACAAGTGATGTATTTTCAAACGTCTATCTAGCTGTGGCCTAGGCCTATACATAGTCTCCCCTTTCATCAGTACATACTAAGTTCTCTGAAAGTTTTGTTAAAATTTTTTTTTTTCTCATGCGTGAAACAGAGGATGCGCGATCTATCACCAGATATTGTCAAGTATTAATTCATATGACTAAATCAAGCTGATGTCATTACAGTGGCATTAGCTGGGTTTCCATCCGAAGGTGCGAATTTAACTTATGTGCAGAATTGGAATATTGCATAAAACATTTGCAAATAAGCATCGTTTCCATCCAATGTGTCAAAGAGCACAACATCGCCACTTTCTGATAAACTGTCACTAAATATAATTACGAAAAGTAGGAGCAGCCACTGAATATAATAACTTTCATATATAATAAACTACTTGCGCCTCAGAGCGAGCAGGCGAAACACAATAAATGTGGTCATTGCTTTCAGAGGTGGATGCTGCTGTTTGGAAACAAAGGTATAAAAGTCAAAAACCACCTCAAATGATCGTAAAAACTTTTTTTGTTTGTTTTTACGATTTGAATCGAGGGAATTGAGGGATTTTAGAAATTGGGCGTTTCCCTCACTCGTTTCTGATACGATACTTCAAAATGCACATAAAAACAGGTTGATGGAAACAGCTAGTTTCACAAAACGCTATTGAATCCTGGTGGATTTAGAGAATAAGAGATCCAGATATTAAACACTGAGATGAGGCAGTGATTTAGTGTGTGATTGAAGCATGTGTTCAGACAGACGTCACACTCACACACTGTCTGCTCTCCTCCATTTCATGCGTCTTTCTGATTTCTCCTCGTAGAAATCATACTGAAATCCTATTCAGCTTGACTGTAAGCAGGTCAGGACCTGTGATGATGCTCTGCACCACTAGAGGGAGTAAGTTTGTTTTTCATATTAGTGGAGTACAAAAAAAACAAGACACACCTTATGCGGGTAGAAACGAAAGTAAAAGAGTAGGAAGAGAAGAGACGCCATTTCAAGACTATGAACATGTTTACTCTGAACGTTTAAAGGGCCGCATATTTTGAGGTAAGTTCAAAATTTATATGTAGCTAACCATGTAGACATATAAAAAAAATAGCTGGTATTTAGGTATATTTAAATGGGATTTAAAACACTAATCATATTTCAACATAAACAAAACTAACAAAATGGTGGAAACTTTGAGGATTAAGGTATGAATTACCTTTAATGTCCCGCGATCTTTGTTTCAGTTGTGCTATGAGTTTTGTACTGCACTAAACTTTAGCTCTAAAATACGGTGACCGGGATGAGACATGTTCGGTTCACTTAGTTTTGTCGTGGCCATGTCTTATTAACTCGTGCGAACGTGATAAAATGTTGTGGCCTCGAGATAATTTTGTCGAGGTAATATCCTTATTTCGTGGCCACAAAATGTGAAGTCGTGGCCTTGAAATCCTGTGTTGAGGGAACAACATCAATTTCTTGTGGCCTCGAGTTTAATGCATAAACAAACCTGCGTGACCATAGCAACCTGGGATTAACAACATAACAATGTCAACAATATACCAATAATGTCTTCACCATCCATTACTATTCTATTTGCTATGATTGAGTGTCATTTCCTCTTTCTGTGTAGATGATGATTTTCTCATGTGACAGTGTCTGCAAAAATACACAAATAAGTTAAAAGTCTGTTTGCTTCTATTCAAGTAAATACAGGTGTTTGTTATGGTCAAAATAAGATATTACGAATGGACAGTGCCTTTCACAATAGTAGAAGAAAGTTAAAATCAGCATTATTGCTTTGATGTTTTTGTGGTTGGACATGTTTATGTACGAATCTAATAATTAGAAATTCTAGGAATATGAATCATAAATTCAAGATTTCTGTTCTGCTGCTTGGTGAAGATGAGGAGAAGGGTGTACAGCTCTGTTCAGTCAAATACATATGTTCTGTTAAATAAATACATAAAAACAAGAACTTAAACTAGATACAATTTTAAAGTTTGTAAAATCTGTTGACATATTAAGAAAAATATAAAGTGTACCTGGAGAGATTGTTGATAGTCTATGTAGAAGTGATTCAACTCAAGAAAATGAGCTTGCTTTCACAGTTACAGATTAAAAAGGGGGCGATAAAGAACCCTGATCCCTCACACACACACACACACACACACACACACACACACACACACACACACACACACACACACATGTTTCTGCATAAATGTGTTTATCAGGAGGATATTGTTCTAAATAAAACTATAATTATTACTTTTCAATTACCATCTTTTTTTTATATCATATTGAGCTATATGTGTGCATTTTTTATAATATGGGGAAAGTAATTAGATTGCAATGTCATCCAGATTAAGACTGTACTTTAATGTAGCTGTGTTGTATAATTGTACCACTGAATTTAACTGTGTTTCCAGGTCTGAAATCAGTCTCTGCACTCTTTTGGCAAATGAGAGTAAGAGAACACTAAAATGAGTCTCCATAATGAGAGAGAAGATGAGGGCACTGCCTCTAAAATGAGTTCTCCATCTCCTGTGTCGAGCTGTGAGTCTATGAAGAGTAATCAATCTATGAAGAATCTGCCCTCTGCATCCAGTGATGCGGTGACCTCTGACCCCAAGTAAGACACTAGCCATTTTAGCATTGACAGATGCTTTTATTCAAAGTGATTTACAGTTCATTCCTGAAGCCTGCAGTGGGTGATTGGTGATACTGTCACAGAGAAGCACAAAACCACTTTCCTTTTTCACTGTCACTGTTCCTTACTGGTGGAATTCGCAACTTTCTAAATCAGCTGAGTCCCTTGCGATTTTCAATACATTTCTAAAGAATTATCTTTGCATACCTCTCGCTTTGTAGTAATGCATGTATTTTTTTAAAATAAGTGTTTTCTTTACTTTCACCATTTCTTACCTTCATCTCTCTATAGCAGGGGTCTTCAAAGTTTTTCAGGGCAAGGAGCAGGGACCCCCTGTTTCAAAATGTGTCAAGCAGAGCTACATATTAAGCATATAGCCTTCAATATTAATAGAAACTAACCAATTATGATTAAGAATAAATATTATTATGTTACATGTATATTATGTTAAGACAGTAAATCAGAACGATCCACTTTATTGTTGTTGCACATGCCTGTATATGACTTGTTAAAATGCGTCATAAAAAACAGGTTGAGATAAAAATCACAATTCATTAGTTGTTTGCAGTTGTTGTAAATTATTTTAACGGATTTGCAGAGTCATACATGTTAATTTTACTAGTCAGATGGACATTTTCAGTTACCTGAACTTTAGCTACAAGTTTATTAAAAAATCACATTTTAATTTTACTGTCAAAAGGACAAATAAACATTTTGTTAAACTTTAGCTTTGTCAGCCCTGTGTTCCCGTGTTTGTTGTGTTTTTCTCCTAATGTGCTCCGTGACCTAGTTTCTCCCTCGTGTTGATTGTGTTCATTGATTTCAGGTGTGTCTTGTCATTAGTCCCTCGTTATCCTGTGTATTTAAGCCCCAGTCTGTTCAGTCTGTATTTGTCAGGTCTAAACGTCATTCCCAGTGCTACGTGTGTGTTCCTTGTAAATAAAGACTGCATTGATTATAATTCTTCCCATCTCCGCACTCCTTCGTCTCCTCACAGCAGCAATCGTGACAAGCTTCAAGTTTACTAAAACCTAACATTTAAATTTTTACTGCGAGATGGACAATTAAAAATCAAATCACTGAGTATCTGAAATGAGTCAGGGTTTTCTAATACAGTGCAGATATAATGTGTAAGCAAGGGCTCCACCATGACAAGAATAGCAATGTACAATGAGACATTTCCGATTATTTACAAGGCATATTTTAAGAACAAATGGAATGAAATTTAAAAATATATTGATACGGATATTTTTCTAGTAATCTATTAGTCTGCATTTACATTGCGCATATCTATTGTGACATGCCATATTTTTGTCCCGTGCTAGTATCACAATGTCAATTGCAGATTCAGAGTGAATCACGCATTTATATGTAGATATCATTTCCAAAACTTAGCAATTATTGTTTCGCCAATTATTATCATTGCAGTATCAAGTGAGGGTGCTCTTGCTTTCGTTATAGGGTGCTTATATTTAAAATTGACTTTGATGTTTTTTACCCATTTTAATTTTTAATGAAAAGTTACTTGTGATCAAACATTAATTGACGGATCCCCTCCAGTACCGCTGTGGACCACCGGTTGAAGACCCTTGCTCTATAGCATGTCCTTTGTACAATTTTGGAACTTTTTTTAATTGCAGCAATTCTCATGTTATTGTCTCCATTTGGTGATTTAAATTTTTTTTTGTTATATTCATTATTTCTTAATTTAACAGATGTTTTCATCCAAATCCACATACTAATAAGTGAAAACCTATGGTGCATTCAAGTTATACAGTATAGCTAGTGCTCTAAAATTATCTATTTTTTTCATCAACATCAACAGGAGAAAGAGACAGAGATCAGAATCTCCAGAACCCAGTGGTGTGTCTCTAACAAGTAATGTATCCATGAGGCAACCCCCTACATTCAGTGATGGACCAATGACCTCTGACCCTTTGTTAGTATATATATTTACTTGCTAATGTACTGCAGTGCATCTCACATGAATAATGATTTAAAAGACATGATGAAATAACAATAAATATAATTAAAATATATGCAACATTCATTGCTCATGGGGGTCAAACTCAGTATATTTATGATGTTTCCAACAGTCATTTTAATCACTGTGATTGTCTTTTCTGACAGATTATCTCTGACCTGCACTGCATCACATGAGACTGGAGATCTGCAGAAACCAGTGGATAATGGTCTTCAGAGAGTCAAAGCCCTGCACAAAACCATCATGAAGAGCAAGTATGAGATATTATTTGAGGGAATCAAACTAAAAGAGACTCAAACCCTTCTGAGCAGGATCTACACACAGCTCTACATCATAGAGGGAGAGAGAGAAGGAGTGAATGAAGAACATGAGGTTTTACGGATGGAGAAAACAGCCAGAACACAACACTCACAAGACAATCTGATCAACTACAATGACATCTTTAAAGCCTCAGCTGAACCAGGATCTGAGGAGAAAGAGCAGATCAAGACTGTTCTTACTAAAGGCATCGCTGGAATCGGAAAAACCGTCTCTGTGCAGAAGTTCATTCTGGACTGGGCCGAGGGAAAAGCCAATCAGGATGTAGATTTCATGTTTGTGCT